CAGCGCCCATGGAGACCTTGTGGCTTCCTCACTGAAAGCCGCGTCCCTCAGGGGGCTTTGTGGGCCACCATGCCAGCCCCGCAGAAGAAAATCATCTTTTGCGTAGCCGGGGTGCTGAGCCTCGCTTGCGCGCTGGGGACGGCAGCAGCCCTGGGCACGCAGCTGTGGGTGACGGGGACGATGCTCTGCAAGACAGGAGCCCTCCTCGTCAATGCCACCGGCCACGAGCTGGAGAAGTTTATCGGCGAAATCCGCTACGGGCTTTTCTACGGCGAGCGTGTGAGACAGTGTGGGCTCGGAGGGAGACCGCTCCAGTTTTCATGTGAGTAACAATGGCGCTTGAATTATTTAACCACACGTCTGGGGAGCCGGGAGAGAGCTGCCCCCATGCCCCCGGCTCAGGCACAGAGCTGAGCGGGATGAAATATTCTAACGCAGATGTTGCCCTGACAGTGTGCTGATCTTCAGGTTCAGATGACTTCTGATGCTAGGAAAGCCACACTAACATTTTCAACAATGTGTATCTCATTTACACAGATATCTGTATTTAAATATATTTATGCTATAAAAAAGTATTTTTGTTTTTCAATTAATCTCTGTCATATTGTGTGTGTGACAAAGTTATGTCCTCTGTGCCTTCATGAGAGAATGAACTAAACTGGCAGAAAACTCCTGAAGGAACTGGGGCATAGATATGTTCGGTTTCTGTTGAGAAAGCAGCCAAAAGCTCGCAGTCTGCCGCGCTGCGGAGGAACGGCTGGCTGATGCTCAACCGGTTGATCTGCGAGTAGAACATGGTATCTGACACATAGAATCGTATCAAAGCCTGTTAGCAGTGGGTTTGCTTCACATGTAATATTCATAACCTATTTATCTTCAAGGATAAGAAGATCAATAACAGGACCAAGCGAATACGCGGTTTGTATACAGCAGCACGTTAAACAGACAACAACAAACGATTTGTTATATGTACAGTAAGCAGCAGGAAGCTGACGCAAAACACAGCTTAGAAGTGTTCTGCTAAAGCAGCACTGATATATTGCTTATGTGAGTCCTCAGAGGCAAGGTAAGGTTGCCAGATTAAGTACCAGAGGTTATTTACTATATTTTTCCAAAGTAGTACACCAAATTTAATATCGTATTAAGGTTTTCTATCTTAAATTTAATTCTGTCAGTAGCCTATTACAGAGCTGAAGGTCTCCTCTCGATTGCACTGTTTACCATCACAGCGCGCAGATCCCCCCACCCCATGGTTATATCCCAAGGAGTTTGTTGTGGGCTGCGGGTGAGGCGCACGGAGCTCCCTGGGTAGGGAGAGCAGCAGCAGAATGAGCCAGTGGCCACTTGGTGAAAGGAAAAGTCACCCACGGTGAGCAGCAGGGACAAGGACATCCCTCCTGTGCCCATACCAGCCAGGACAGGCAGCCCCTGCCAGGAGAAACACAGCGAGACAGTCCCCGGGCTTCTCTTTCCAATCCTTTTCTTTCTATGTAGATACTTTTACACCATTTCATTCACGTGCCTTTCACGCGGGCTCCCACCTGTCCATTTCATCTTGTTACGGCTGAAATACTGTAATATACTGCTAGTGTGATTGCAGTGAAAGTTTCGGAATAATTTTAGTTTTTTGTGGTGGCACGGATTATTATTGCAGGTACAAGAGAGCACACACAAGTGTGCAGCTTGTTTGGGATGATTTAATAATAGTCATCCCTTTTTTGAATATCTCACCATGCTGCGCAGGGTTAAGCTCTGGAGCTGTGCCGGTACCACAGAGCACTTTCAACCAGAAGCACTGCAGGGTGGCTGAGGCTGCTCTCACTGTGGCCACACACTTCCCATTCACACTCACAGAAATATTCCGTAACTGGGCTTTCCTATCCAAATGTTCTCTAAACTTGCATTGGTTAAATATAATTTCAATAGAGCACATGAACACAGATGTAACCAAAGAAATAATACAACGTTAGGTTTTTAGTGGCAGCTAAGTAGCCCACTTTGGAATGATAAGAAAACCCCAAGTAAACCAAAACAAAAAAACACAAACGACAACAACAAAAACCAACAAAATGAGTGCTCATACACAGCTGCAGAAAACTACCACACGGGACAATAATCAAATTTAATTTTTCTAGTACGAGTGCCTAAGTTACATTTTCAAGGAACTCCAAGGCTTGCAGGAATTGCTGGAACAAGACAACACTGAAAAAGTAACTCACTCAACATCAGTAAATATCACTGCTCTCCAACAGAGACAGCGAGGTTTGGAGCACGTGCATTAACGCTTGTCCCCAGGACCTGAAACCAAGGCTGGATTTAACCCTATACCTGAGCCTCCCTGAGTCCGACAAGAAGCTGCTGACACACCTGTGATGGAGCAGCATCTCCCCCCCTGAAGAGCCTCATCCCAGCCCGTGGGACCCAGCCCCTCAGCCACCAGGGTCAGAACACAACCCAGCGCTCCGAACGGTGCCACACCGACCCCGGGCTCGCTCGGGAGAGCATCCCTTCCCCTCCTGTTCTCCTCCCGTACGAGCCAAGCACTGACAGCGAGGTACTTCAGTGCCTCTCTCTTGCAATGTTGCTCTGGCATCCTCTGGCACGGCAACACACCGAGGGATCTCTGGCCTGGCGTGCGCCCCGTGACAGCCCCAAGGGCCCCGCCAGCCCGGCTGCACCGACTCCTTCTCCTCCGTGAGCTTTCACCAACACCCGAGGCTGGAAGGGTCCCTGTCCTCCTCACGGGTTGTTCTCAGTCTTTTTATTGGATTTAAAAACCAAGCACATGTGCTTTAATGGGATTTATATTTAGAAATGTTGATTGGGCAGCTCAGCAAAACGTGCCCCTACCGGGTCAGAGACCCCTAAGCATGGAGGCTGCTCCTGGGGTGCGGCAGCCCCGTCCCACACCCAGGGGAGCACCCGGAGAGTCGGATAACCGTGTACAACACACATCCATAGCTTCAGGCACCACGGTGTGCTTTAGCATGTCTGAGAAAAGGCACGGAAAATAGGCTAAATGATTTAGTCCTATGTTTGTTCCCCTTAAATGCTCCCCTCTGACCACCACATCTCTTTTAATTGTAAGACGAATTTGCTCTGCCAGCAAATCCAGTTCAGCTGGGGAAAGCCTTTCGCTTCATTTGCTTTTGCTGATTCTCATCAGTTTCTGGGTCAGCAGTTCATTTTCTAAAGGTCACTGGCATGCATACCTAACGCAATTTCATTCATTACAATGAAGGAGTGTTTTTCTTTCAAGACAACATAGCTGCTGGGATTAATTTTTCCTGATACGTCACATATAAAATTTTAATTACATAAACAACTATAAATGCAGGTGCCAAGGGAAAGATTCAATGCAATGCAGTAAAGTGTTTTCTTAAAATAAACACTGCAAAGTTGTATTGTAAAATACACAGTTTTGCCCATTCTCCCAAAACATCAAGTAGTGCTGCAAGAACTAACGCTATTCCCTGTAGAAATTCTGCAAAGAGAGGGATTCCTCAGCATTTTTGTCGACTGACCTGGATGGTACCAGGGTAAGACTGTACTTGATCCCACTCTAACAGCACCACCGCTTCTTACGCTGGTGAATATATGAGATGTGTAATGTCAAGTCCCGTAAGCACACGGTCTAGTTCCCAAAGCATGCTTTGTGCTTAACCATGATAATAAAGACTCTGAGCACCAGTAGCCCCTCTCTGCTCCCAGCCAGCCCTCAGCAGCACAGAAGGGGATATTTAAGGCAGCTTCAAGAATAGTCTGCAGGCATTTGCTTCATTAATTTCCCATTCATTTAGCCAGGGAGATAAATTGGCTTGACACCACAGTACCTGCTTCTCTGTGTTTACTGCATGGCAAGCCACTGGTAAACATTTTACAAGGTGGAGTAATTTATGTGAGGCTTTCTTACTCTCTGCACATTACAGCTGCAGCGAGGCAGCACCAAAGTATTATTACCCCCACTTTAATCGTGCCCCTGTGGATCGGGAGCAGTTAAGTGTATTTGATGATTCCATCTAAAATATCCGCTGTTGCCAAACAAACATGAATGACTAAAAATTATCCTCTTGTACCGACTGTGATTGACTATCCCCTCGTGCCCTGGCTAAGCAAATTGAAATAGTAGCTAAAAAGCCACATAAAAAGTATTTAAAATGAAGCATTCCTAAACTTTTGCCTTGGGCTTGCAGACACAAAACATTCCCCGAGTGTTTTACTTGAGGAAATACAGGGGAGATGGTATAAAAATCACTTATTCTTTTAGAATTTCATTCAGAAAGTTTGTTGCAAATAACTCTTTGACATAACCTTTATGAAATTCTTTCTTTAGTATATTTCATTAAAAAATAATTTAGATTAATATATGTACAGAAATACATCCCGTTTCTATTTTTATATACTTACAGAAATATATCCATTTTCTATTTTTAAGGATTTTTATCAAAACAACAATTTTTCTTTATTCATTTTCTAAAACTAGAGAAGCACCAAAGGATAGGTGGTAAGAAACCTCCAATCCTTTTTGGAATCTGCATGATTCTTTGGCTGATGGATTTTGCCTGACATGTGTAGTAATGACTTGTTCGTTCTGTTTTTTAGTTTTTCCAGATCTGCTCAAAATTATCCCTGCAAGTATCCATGTTAGTGTCATTCTCTTCTGTACAGTACTGATCGTCTTTGCTCTGGTGGGAGCAGGTTTCTTCATGTTCAATGCTTTTGGCAGCCCTTACGAAACCCTGCACGGCCCCGTCGGGTTGTACCTCTGGAGCTTCGTGGCCTGTAAGTACCACCCGCGTGTCAGCGTCACCCCCGGGGGTGGCCCATCCACATTCGTGACCTGCAAGGACCATAGCTGTGTCGTGGGGATCACACCAGGGTGGGGAAAAAACAACCAAAAAAAAAAAACTCTTCATGTTCACCGCGATGGGAGCTCCCATAAGCAAGGTCACCACTTAAGGAAGGAAGGAACAGAGAGGCAGAGAAGCAAAGAGGGAGAGACCGACAGCAGCTTGCTGGAAAAGGGGTCTCAAAAACCCACCGTCAAGGGGAACCATGACCTTCCCTTCCCCTCTGCCGCACGGGGCGGGTAACACCTGCTCTCTGTGGGCTGGGCTGCCAAGGAGACTTACCGTTCCCTCACAAGGTGTTACACATTACAACTGTAACTTAGTAAAGGACTTAAGTACGTATTTATCCTTAACCATGCAGGCAGTTCAGTTACGTTCAATGGGACAAGGAGCTGCTTAGAGCTGAAAAAGAGCACAGACACTTTGCTGGGTCAGGGCACTAAAAGCAGCCGTGATAAATATTACTGGTCATAAGCCAGACGCATTAAAAAAGCTTACTCCTTTCAATAGCCGTGGGCTTGAGTTCTAAAAATAATCCCCACTAAAGCAAAGTTACAGTGGCCATAACAACACGATCAGCATGGCATCTGGTTGCGGCGTACCTCATGCGGGCTCGCGCCCTGCCGAGGTGACGAGCATCTCCCTCCCTTTCAGGTTCCTGTGGCTGCCTCATCATGATTCTCTTCTCTTCAGAAGTTAAAGTCCACCACCTTTCAGAGAAAATTTCTAATTTCAAAGATGGAAGTTTTACATTCAAGACTCACAGTGAACAGTTTGCAAATTCCTTCTGGATCATCCTGGTTTGCTCCCTGGTGCATTTCCTGAACGCCTTACTGATACGATTTGCTGGATTCGAATTCCCCTTCTCAAAATCAAAAGATTCTGGAACAGCCACTGGGGCGGTTGATCTGATGTATTAGGATTGTATAACTTCAGAACATTCCAGTCAAAGAGATCCATCATTACTACATTCAACACCCACCAGATGTACTAATTTGTAAGTGATTAGCTCTAAAAAAGTTGAAAAAAGGGAAGGTTTCAAGCACACATCGATACAGCATATGCAGTAAACAAAACACGCTACTTGGTAATGTCTAGATCAAAATACCTTCTCATTCTTGGGGTAAAACCTTATGAAGGCTTTTTTTTTCCAGTTATCTGAAAAGTAGCTGGTATGAGGAAAACTAGGAATATCAATAGCACCTGGACAGCAAAGTGAATGAACTCCAGTAAAGGCACAGGCTATCACCAGCAGCAGCTCTGCGCTCCAGCCCTGGAGAAGGCAAGGACACCGTTGTTACCCGCTCGGGGCAGGGGAGAACAGGGAGCCCAGCAGATCTGCAGACATGAAACCATCAAATAGGAGAAGAGAAAATGGGGGAGCTTTGCTCATGACACCCATCAGGCTCCATCTCAAGAGCCCAGAGCTCACCAGGAACACAACGAGCGCAGGACACAGCCCAAACACCTGAACCTCACGCTTCGCCCAGCACCACGTGCACAGCAATGCCATGGGTTGCACCCATCACGTTCTCTTTGGGGTTTTTTATTTCTGAGAAACCAAACTGTATCTCTTTGACCCTGAAGCTTGACAAACCCTCATTTCCCCGTGCGATCGCTGTGCCCAGGGCTTCGTGACCTCAGCTACAAAGCTGCAGACAGCAAAGCAGGATGTGGAGAAGTAGCATGGGCTGTCCTTTTTTTCCCCCCCTGCCGCACACACCAGCCACGGGCTGCTCCCAGAGTGGGAGCGATACCAGGCACCCCTCACACCACACTGCCTCTTCCCAAAGCCTCGCTGCCAGGACCCCTGCCCAGAAAGCAGCCCTACAAACACCAACAAACCAAGTCAAAACCTTTGGTAAAGGGCAACAGTGGAATAACACAACGGACAAGGCACACCGTGGCTCAGCAGAAGCTGATGAGGAAATACCTGAATTTCTGTACCTCAGGGTGAGCAGGAAGCCAGAGCAGACGATCACGTAGACCCTTGTCCCCTTCAACTTCTCCAAGCCAGCTAAAGCCACCAGCCTTCTTACCCCAGGCACAGTGATGCCAGCCCAGGCACAGAGTTCAAAAGAGCAGCCACCGTGCCACCGGACACTACCTGTGGGGTGCCTCGGGGATGGGGCACTCTTCACAGGACAGGGCAGCAGCACTCAGGACTAGCAGAGAGGAGGCCCAGCTGCTCACCCACCCTTTTATCTGCAGGGCTGCTGCTCATCCCCACACAGCTGCCTGGGGAGTGGTCCTACCCCCACCCCCAGCACCTGGGGGGAATCAGGCTCCTGGTGGGACTCGCCTCTGGAGATGCTGTCCTTCAGGCTCCGGGTGACCTGCGAGAGGACCTTGCTGGTGTTTACACCAGCTTTTGTACTTTTGCTACAAATGGCAAAATGCTCCTGGGTTTGTTTTGTAAAGGGTTTGTTTTGCAAAAGGTTTGTCAGCTCTACCCCTACACCACAAAGCAGCTCAGGCTCTGTTGTGTCTCCCCAGATTTTAACAACTGTAAGGGCAAGGTGGCACAGCCCTCAACTTTTTTTTGTTCTTTTTGACTTTATTAATACACATATTCTTGTTAGCCTTGATGTATCTTCTCGAAGCATAACCGGTATTACACCTCGTGGTATTACTATACAGCAACTAACCAGGAGTAACATTTCACGCTTCCTGCGTTGGGCGCACGGCTGCTCCCGTGGGCGTGGGTTTCCGAGTGATCCTGAGGAAGGAGCTGGCCCATGTGTGTGTAAAACACAGAGTTGCCCAGACCAACCTGAGCACAGAGAACAAACCTCTCCCTGTCCCCTTCGCTGCGTGAGGGAGAGCAGCCCCCGACCTGGGGTTTGGGTGTTTTTACAGGGGGATCACCCCCCCATTCCACCTCCCTCGCCAGCAAGAGGCCAGCGGTTAATTCCATTCATATCCAATTCCCCAGGCAAACATAACAACTCCTTATTAGTAAAATAAAATTGAGGTGATATTTGTGTGTGGAACCAGCTGAAATTACGCATTAGAGCTTGCACAACCTCTCAGCTCGTGCGCCAGGTGAGCACCAGCACCTGCCCCGTGACTCGTGTGTAATCCACCAGCACCAGCTGAAGAAGTTTTGCCCTGTTCCATTTCTAGAGTATTTCTCGATTTAAAAAACAACAGGAATTGTGTAGTGAGGAGAAATACATAAGCATATTTTGAAGGTTCTTGAAACCAACAGATTTTTTCATATCCTGGTAAAAAGTTAGTGTGCCTGCGTGTCCGCGTGTGCACACATGTAAACACTAACGTGTACACAAGCTGTGCACCAGGCTTAGCCCGCTGGCCCATGGCGCTGGTGCAGGGGCGAGCTGGGGACCATCGTGCGGTGCGTGTGGAGCTCTCCGTGCTCTCTGGACCTGCATCGCCGCCGCGGCTGTCCCTGCCCTGAGCAGGGATGCTGGAGCTCATGCCGCTGGCTCCTGCAGCAGACCCTTCTGCAGCACAACCCCCTCGGTGGGTTTGTGCATCAAAGCCACCCCCCCAGGCAGAGGTGATGCATTGGGTGGAAACCGTGTGAACAGCAGACATGGTCAAGTCCACGGCGTTGTTCCATAAAGCATGGCCGGACCCCGCGGCACAGGGGTTTCCCCTCTGAGTTAAGTTATGGCGGAGCGGGGGCTGCACTGGGGAAGGACGTGGTTAACCTTTGCAGCTTCCCCATCCTGACACCTCAGAGCATTCACCTCACTGTTTTTTTTCCACTGAAACTCAGAGAGATTCCCCAGGTCGGTGCGTTCTCACAGACCAAAAGAGGAGAAAGCAAACGATGAGCTTTCCATGACCCCACAGCACGAAGCCAGCAGGTCCCCCACTCATCAATGCCAGCCTTGCCCGTGCGCCCCCGGCAGCCTCCTGCAGCGAGGGAACCCCCCTGCACCCAGCCTGCCTTTCCCCAGCTCGCCTCCCCAGAGATCCTGCTGGACTTCACAGACATCTGCAAAGTTTGCTTTGGTTTTTACCCTCGAGCTGCACCCCTCCCACCTGGCCCTCACAGCCCAGACCCAGTCCCACTCGTGCCAGCAGGCACAGAGGGAGTTGCAGCCCCGGAGCTGGGACCCCCCTTCTCCTGCCCCAAGCCCCCCAGAGCAGCCCCAGAGCTGCCTCGGCTCTGCACGGCTCCACGCCGGGCATTAAACATTCATGGTCCTTGCAGAGCGCACAGAGAAACACAGCTGAGACCGGCTCTGGTGAAAGCTCAATGAGAGCGGGCGCTGGCGGGGACGCGGGGGGAAAGG